CTGTAAAAAATTCTTACAGACTATTGTGGTGATACAAGTGATTTAGATATGGTTATGTTAGTTTTGTATTGGAATGATCGCGATTTCTATAGTGATTTACTGTAAAAAATCCTTACCGACTATTGTGGTGGCAAGTGATTTAGATATGAATATGTTAGTTTTGTATTGGATTTCTATAGTGATTTACTGTAAAAAAATTCTGGTTTACTGTACTTGCTATAGTGATACAAGTGATTTAGATATGGTAATGCTAGTTTTGTATTGGAATGAACGTGATTTCTATAGTAATTTACTGTAAAAATTCTTACCGACTATTGTGGTGATATATGTGATTTATACATGGTTATGTTAGTTTTGTATTGGGGATTTACTGTAAAAAATTCTGGTTTACTGTACTTACGAGCTATAGTGATGCAAGTGATTTAGATATGGTTATGTTAGTCTTGTATTGGATTTCTATAGTGATTTACTGTAAAAAATTCTGGTTTACTGTACTTGCGAGCTATAGCGATAATGATACAAGTGATTTAGAGATATGTTATTTATAGTGATTGACTATTCTGTTATTGTACTTACAGACTTGTGATTGGCATAAGTGGTAATCGAGTTATTATTACTTCTAAGCTTTTTTAGGCTACTAAAATTTACAAATGTATATCATACTTACAACCCCCTAACTAATTCATAAGCCTTTTTTGCCCATACGTCGTTTGGTTTAATTCTTAATAATTTCTTCAAGTCAACGACCGACTCATTATACCTTTTCATCATATAATTAATTTCTCCTCGATAATTTAATGCCATTGTATTATCTGGTTCAATTTCTAGCAATCTAGTTAAATCTTCAAATGCTTTATCATATTTTCCCATAATAAAATATATTTTTCCTCGGTAGCTTAATTCAAATACATTACTTGGTTCTTTTTCTAATGATTTTGTTAATTCTTCGATTAAATTAACAAGCATATTTTCATATCCACCCATAATAAAATAAACCTTGATATTCCAACGTTAATGCATTCTTTGATTTTTTACTAATGTCTTCATTAGTTATTGCTGTCAATCGAAATATATAGACAAGATTAAATTTTAAATAAGCAAAAAACGATTAAACCTTTTGAATAATTTACCAGAATATTTAAAATTTTCGTTGCCGAAGTTCACCTCTACTGATCCGCCCTGCGATCTAAATCCAACACAAGGATATAGAATGCCATTGAAATTACTATGTAGATGACAAGCAATTCCTTAAAATATTTTTTAATTATTAAATTTCTGCCCATTCATTTTAAAAATATAACCTTTAATTATAAATATTGGTACCTAAGTTAATTCCATTTTTAGTATAAAATACTATTTTATTTCTAAAATTTAAATAGCATCCGACTATATCACCAGTAGTATATGACTCTCCATATGGTCTACCACTTCCTGAATAAAAAGAATATCCATCGTCACCATGGTAACCACACCCCCATGATTCATTTTCCTGTCCTAAAAGATATGATGTAGATGTTAATCTATAATTAATAAGCAAATAAAATAAAGATTTGCTATTACCAGGCATGAGCATATTATTTATATAATCTGAATCGTCTATTTTTTTATCGCTTTGCTTTGTACAATATCCGATTCCAATCATTCTATTAAGAAAATAGAATTAAAAGATTGTAAAAAATCACCAGAACAAAAGTGATGTTTATGTTAAGAAATAATGATTAACATTACCCATTTTTTCCTTTGTTTATAATTTTAATTTCAAAGTAAAATATCCCACACTCTGAAGAGATTGGTTTATTTGCTCGAACGATTACAGCTTTATAGTTAATTAAAAGGGTTTTAATAAATTAAATAGCTATGATGATTCATTTAAATGCCGATGATTACAGTATTAAATATGTGCTGCGAGAATTCCCATTTTCATATTACCTGTATAACTCACTTTAGTCCACTTGAATCTATTTCAATAAATGGCGATTTATCTTCAATATCCCATGCAGTCGGTAAAACAATATCATTGTACGAAGTTATTAATTTTAAATCTCCCATTGCTGTAAGTTAAAATTCAATTGTTAACGAACGGTGAACGTACAAAAGCAATTTATAGAAATATTAACAAACTCCTGAACTATGATCAGGGATTTCATTTACGTTAATACTGTATAGTGAATTTTATTTTCAATGAATACAAACGAAATATGACTGTATAGAACATATATATATGTAAATCTACTAGATCAAAAAAAATATTCGTCACATAATTTAACTACCATGCTTCTGTCAATAAATTTTGTTAACATACTAATATCTTACCTTAACACAAAATAATAAAATGTTAATCATCTAGATAGTTGATGTTGATGTTGATCCCTTAATGGCGCTAATTTTTTAGCTATACCAATTTCAGAGTATCGATTCACCCTTCTTTTTTTTCGATGTTCGATCAATTCATTTCTTGTAGAATTAATGCTTAACTATATTACAAAAAAATGTAATTATTGATTTGATATGAGAAGTACACAAAATACAAATAAATAATGAATACTTACGGCCCATTTGACAACTGCTTCATATAACCAAACAAAGTTTGGCATGTCAACCCAATCTTTCGGTAAGCAGAAATGATCAACCTCGAATAAGCGATGTACACCTAAATTGATTTTATCAATTTTTCGGATTCTATGAAAATCTAATGCAAATTTACGTAATATATACTTCTAAAATCCATCATATTAAGTGATAGTTCAGTTTTGAATGCCGTTAAACCATATACTCGTAAGTCAGTAAAGAGTTGTCGGCGCGCGTCAGCTTCTTCAATAACGATCTTATTATATAGTACAGCCATGCTAGTGGCATTTTTTATATCATCGTCAACGCTTTTTTTTTGCGATGCACCTGGTCTAGCTCCCTCGCCACAAACTATTGATAGTTTACAACATCATTTAGAAATCCTACTCCATCAGCCCGTACTTTGAGCCCAAGATCTTTCAATGGTATTTCACCACTATATAACACGAAAATATTTTATTCTAATATATTCCTATATAGAAAATATAGGTTCAAGTTACTTACTATATGTAATTGACATTGGCAAAGATCCATAACGCAGAGTCAATAAGAGGATGTACGAATTGATTGAGGTGTGGTTTTTCAAGGAACGTTATGTCTCTCAATGGATTTAAACTTTCCAATGATAATGCTTTTAAGCTAAATGAATGAAAAATAATTAGTAATTTTACAAATATTACTAAAATATATTGCATAAATTTATCATCCTTACAATTTTGGTAATGTTTCTTGAATTAACTTTTTCAAATTCTTTAGGAGCTCAGAATCATTTTCATTAGAATCCATATTGTTTATTGCATTACTCCAGCCTCTTGCAGTAAGGTCTTTATTGAAAAATGTTGTCAGAAATCCGTGAATATCATCAGTGATATAATTGTCAATTTCATCAAAAATTTCATGTAGAACTTTTTTTTGAAGTTCTAAATCTAATATTATTGAAAAATTCGACTTAGGACGTAAGTCCATTATGGAGGTTGTGGAGTATTTGTCTAAAAAAATTTTCTACGTCAGATGATACGTAAATTGAATCTTCAAGAATATTTTTCACACATATCATCTATAGAAAATAAAAAAAGAAATCATTATTTTTCTTGAAATACCAACATAAAATATTACTAGAGACGAATTTTACTGACCCTATTTTCATCGACAGCGTGTTCGTTTTCTTCCTGTACATCATAACTAGTAATTGGTGTTTCTGTACTGGATCCTTGATGTCCAAAACTCACAATGTTTGATTGTTATTTAAAAACTAAGATCTTAATAAAATTATTCAATTTGTTTAATTTTCTAAGAATTTAATAATTAATTAATATTTACTATTGTTTTATCTGCAAGAATGCTTGACTCAACATTATATTGATTCTATAATAATAAATTAAAAATTAATCTTTAATTATAAAGCGCACACAACAGATCAGTGTTACCAACCACAAATTTCAGATCTTGATTTTTAATTAAATCCAAAATTTCTTTTCACCTTGTAAGGGTTTCCTGCAAGTTTTCCAGCAGTTTGGTGACTTTGTTTCTCGCTGCTTGGAGAAGACCTTTATGCTTCGATAAAATTTCTAGCTGTTTTCTTAAGGAATCACCAATTTCATTCATATGTTCGCTTGTGAAATCAATATTATTTGATATGTGACTTAAGACTCCAAATGCACTCCATTTGATATGATCATTCGACTGAAAGTAATTTGTAATTGAATTTTCGAAATCCATCCTTATAAAAAAATAAATTAATAAAATTATTAATATCATCACAAGAGAAAAAAATTGCAAAAAGTCAAGAATAATATGAAAAATATTGGCTTTATGCAATACTTTCTGGTTAGAATGGAAAGCGTAAACTACAATGAGAAAAGTTTGTCTCTCAATGGGCAAACAATGCGTCAAAGAGGGTAGCCCCCCCAGATCTCAACCAAGCATCCGCCACAAAGAGGCACATAACGCAATTGCTATGCTTCACTCTGCAGCGTTATATCCAATATACTAGAGACAAGAATATAAGCATGAACTACAATGAGAAAAGTCTATTCAGACGATGCGTCAAAGAGGGATTTCCTTATGTCAAGAAAATGATCTACATCCGATGTAACACACAATTTTGATAATATTATATATATATATTG